AAAGATTGTTAGATGGTTTCTGAAAGGCTGAAGTATTTATTCTGTCAGCTTGTCAGCAGTTAATGATAGAGCTGAAAAAAATTCTGTCATGAAAAACAGTTTGAAAAGCTGTTTGAAAAATACATAGGCTTTAAAGTCTTAGCTGTCACCCTGTCCTGTCCGTGTGTAGTTCTTAAACAGCACTGGCACTAATGATAGCACTAACCAATCAGGGGAACTCATGTGGTTAGTTTGCCTCAGGCAATTCTCTTTTTGTTGGATTCCCTCTGAGTACTGTTTTCTGTACTTAAGGCCATATGTGCGATGTATCATCACAATCAAAAATGAACCTGAATATTACCTTCCTTTTATCCTGTCGATTGAAATCAAATTTCTGTTAATTGATTTAGACTGATAAAAAAGTCTAATAATCTATGTAGTTGCCAAAGCAAAGTTCAAAACTAATGCAGTTTTACTCGGGCTAAAAGCACATTAATTATGAAATACAGGGATTTTTTTAAAGGGTAGTATATACTCTAAAAGTGGGTGATGAAAACATCATCTTGTTACTGATATATTTCCCCTGTTGCTATGTGTACATTATTTTACACTGGTACACCTTTGTATAACTGTATCATTTTCCTCCATAGGACAAATTACCTCTAAGAGATTTGTTAAAACTAGAACGGCAACAAGCAATCATAATCAGTTAAAATACTATGGCATTTGCATTCTGTCTCACTGTGCTTCACCTTTTGCCTGCTCCAGTCAGTCAGATAGCAGATATAGAGTTTTCTACAAGGGAGCTGCTCCTGCCTTGGTTTTGCATACCTAAAGCAGCCAGGCTGGAACCTCAGTCTATAATTGTATCCAGAACTAAATATCATAGGAGAGATTTTCCACTGCATATATATACAGAAAAGTGTAAACTTATTTACATATATAAACAGACACATTCATGCATTTTGGGTGTATGTATAACAGTAACTGCACTGCAGTCATAGAGGTTAAGTGAAAAAAAATAGCATGAATATATAAAATCACTTATTACTTTTATTGTTGGCAATGATTTTGTTCCTTTAACAATCCTGGATATAGCTAGGTAATATTCCTCTTTGTATCTCAGTCAGTAGACTGAAAATTTTCTTTGGCCAGTTACAGAAGCATCCATATTTGTTTGTTGTTACTGCAATATAGGGCATATTCAAGGACATAACTTCTAGAAGTCGTCTTCATCTCTGTTTAGACTACAGAACCAAAAGTGAGATTGATTCACAGAGGAAAATGCACCCAGCTGTGTCTTTTTTTCTTTTGCTATTGACCATCTCTTTCTGTTAAATGTATCATTAAAAGTTCTCTGCCTTCCTGTTAGCTCAGCCTTGCCCATATGACACTGATTTACATTCTTGTTTACAGTTTATGAGGAAGAATAAAATGAACATACGGGCAAGCTTCTGATTTTTTTGGTGCCAGTTGTCATGCTAGCATAATTTTCAGTTTACTTACCTTTGGACAGGCTTCTTATCTGGTGCTAATAGTTTTAACCACCTAAAGTTTTAAACATGTGGGAGATTCCACTCCCCCCCAATCCTATTTGGGGAAAGTAGAAATAAAAAGAAAGAGAGAGAGAGAGAGAAAGAGCTGAAACATTTGGAGCTGAGCACACTGTCCCTGTTTGCTATGTAAAATATGCCTCATTTCTTTGATCTTGAGTAATAATAATTCTGGGGAGTTATACTGTTTTCATATGCTTCAAAGCTGTGTCAAAGTTTTGCTGCTTAAGGGTACTTCTTTATTCTGTTGGCTCTTGGGTACTGAGATGACAGGTCCTCTGTACTAGGTGCAGGCTTTTTCAAGTCATAGCCTTCAGCAAAACATCAAATTACCAAATACAGGGTAACATACTTCTACACAAATGCCTTTCCTGTAGATATATTATACCATATATATTAAATACTTTAGGGTTACATGGTACATTTTATGTGCAATAGAAAGTGATGGTTTGAGGTAGCCTTAGGGGTACTTTTTTCCACAAGCAGAAAAAGCTAGTGTATACCGTATCAAGTATGGTTTTTACAGGACTTTCTGCCCGAAGGCCTTTGTAAATAAGTAATGATCAACAGATTGGCTGTGGGTTTTTGAAAAGCATGCCTGTGTCAGTTTGCATGATGGGGGAAGATTTTCAAAGTGGAGTCTGCTTTCATTGCCTGCTGAAGAGGGACTGAGGGAGAGTAGTCGTCCTGAGCCTGAGCTGTCTGCTCAGTAGCACATCAGAATTGCTAAACACAGGTCAAGCAGCGAGTGGAGAACTTGCCAGGCTTCCAAATCTAGACATTGTTTTCTTCCTCTTCTCCCTTGCTGCTAAATTTATTCACCAGCCTTGTGTTGGCAGCCTCAGCCTTTCCCCAGACCCAACTGTCTCTTTGTCTTACACTTTATCTGCACTGGCTTAACTTTGGTTCAAGGTGCTAAATAGGAGCAAGTTGATTGAATCAGAAGAGAACACTGTTAAGCTTTGTGTGTAGTGGCCAAATGCTTTTCTCCTTTCCAATAAACAAAGGTGGTCTGTATTATCTTCTACTTTGTATCCTCATAAATTACCTCAAGTGACAGGTACTTGCTTTCCTGCCCAGAAGTCGTTAGTGTATGTCAACTAAAAGTACAGAAGAGGTAAATCAGCTAAAGCACTGTCACGTCTGTAGATGATAATTATCTTTGCAATATTTTTTTCCTAAATTTACTTTAAAGGCTCCTTTTTCAAAGCCAGCTTCATGCGTGTCTCTCCCACAGAAACAGCTGGCTACTTTGCAGACTTTTCCTCAGCTGTGGTCCTGGATCTAGAGGGGGCCTGGAGGACAAGAAGTCTGGAGCATGTAAAGGAGGAATATGTGAAAAGTTCATTTATAAATTGTAGTCAGAGCTGTGACTTTAGAACACTTTCTGAGCATCTCTACAGTTAAGATAATGTTGAAAATGCTGTGTAGATTTTAGATTTCCACAGTGTCTGGGGCAAATCAGGGAAGAGGATATTATGCCATGAGATAAAACTTTATGACTTCTGCTGTCACTGGAGTAGAACAGAGGACAGAAGCTATATCATTGGGATTCCCTGGGACATCATGACAAGAGGTCTGACGGGTGCTTACTTGGACCTGGTCAGAAAGTGGGAATTTTTGAGATTTACTCACACATAGTTAGAAAGCTGTGTTACCAAATAAGATTTGGATAGATAGATTGAAGACATCTTTTCAACGTCATCTTTTTGATGTCATTGTCTCTAAATGCCAGTAAATTACTAACTGAAATAAATAGATGGTAGGCATACAAATGTTCTTTACATACATCACAAGAGGTCTAGATTAACATTTAGAAAGTCACTGTTCTAACTCAATCCTGCATCACGTCAAATGACATGCGCAGAATCATACTGAAGAATCTAATCAATCAGAAGCAAATCCTTCAAGTTCAAACTATAGCTACAAATGCGAATTAACTAGAAAAATACTCTGCAATATTGTGGTTATTTCTATGTGGTTTACATCAACAGAAGTCTGTCCCATTAAACCCGCAAGAACATGGACATTATTTAAAAATCACTTAAACTCTAACAGGAAAAAATGGATACTTCTCCTGTGGAGATGTGAACACAGGGACAATAAAAAGTAAGATTAAAAAAGAAACTGGAAGGAAAAGGAAGGAAGGAAAGCTGTGAGTAGTAGAGTGATCGCACATCAGGTCTCTTTCATGAGATGGACAAGAAAAGTAGAACCATTTGATGCTTCTGTTGTCATGCAGTGCTATCACGTCACCTGTTCATCATCTTGCAGTCACAGGTTCTGATGCATATTAGTGATGAATAGCCATTAAATATGAGGAGCCTTTGTTGCCCAAATATCAAAATAGCAAAGCTAGTTTTTTTTTAAAAAGTGTCATTTTGGATTCCAGAATGACCAGTGAAAATGTGAAAAGCCCTGGATATGAATCAAAAAAAGCCACTTAAAAGGATTGTTGCAGGGACTCAAGTCCATACTTAATGCTTTGGTAGCTACTACTGCATGAGTGGAATACACTGACTTGAAGGAAATGTCATCCCAGCTGAGTCAAACTACCTCTTAATGCAAGAACAAATAGCATATGACAGGGCCCAAGGGGTCTGAAGAGCAAACAAATAGTTTGTCCCTGTCCACTCCAAATGTAGTGGTGTAGTTGACATAGGCCTCTAGACAAGTAGCATACTCAGCAAAGGGTCATTATCATTAGTGTCCCTGATCACATAAGAATCAGAGGCATCAGAGGACGCTGGGTTTTCAGTACGTTGCCAAGGAGAATTTCGTAAGCCTGAGGATTTTTCTTGATCAAGGATATAAATGATTCCCAATCAAACCATAAAACTTGCTCAGAGACTGTCAAGACCCAGCTAAGTGACATGGAAAAAAGTGAGCTTTTTGGCATACGTTTCTGGAAACCTAATGAAATTATTTATCTGAAGTTGAAGGGGAAACCTCTTGTCTTTTTTCTTGAAGTTGAATATGATATTCTAAGTATATGAACAGTGACTGTGCGCATTTATCCCCTCATCCGCCCACCCAGCTGCATGCACTCAAATGTACACACACATTTCTGCTAGTGCCTCTCAGGATGAATTTGTATTGCCCCTGCCACTGTACTGCGGGCCTTCCATGAACTGGAACTGTGAGCTTTCTTATAGGAACCAAAAAGTGATGGGAAGTCTGGAGGTGAACATTTTCATACTTCAGAAGCATATTGTGAGCATGTCCTGAGGTATCAAGATGTTTAATGAGCAAGATTCTTACAGTAAACAGCTCTGTATCAGTGTCCTTAGTAGTCTTGATAAATTAATGTGAACTCTTCAGTAAGGC